TATTTAGGGTTTCATACCTTCTTGGTTCAGTTTTGACAATTTATATGTAGTTCCCAGTGCATCCACTTCACATGAATTGTGCAATTTGTTAGAGCACAGGTTTTTCAAAGTAGTTGCTAATGCACTTCTGCATTTTGACAGTGTGTTAGAATTTCACTTTTTTATTTCTAACTGCATCGACATGGGTCTTTTCTTTCCTTTTTCTGGCAAGATTTTCTAAGAGTCTGTCTATTTTGTCTGTACTTTCACAGAGCCAGCTCTTTGATTCATTGATTCTTTTCACAAATTTTTTGGTCTCAAGTATATTGGCTTATGCTCTGATCTTTTTATCTTCTTTCAACATACTAGCTTTGGATTTGCATTTTTCTTGATTTCAATGACCTTTGGGTCCATCATTAGATCCTTTATTTTGGCTTATTCTGCTTTTCCGATAAGTTATAAACTTGTATTTTAGGGCTCATTTCATTGAGTACTGTTAGTTCTGGTATGTTGCACTGGCCTTAGCTTTAGTCCATAGAAAGTGATTAATTCCTACCTTGATACATTCTGGGAGTCACTGATAACTCATGTCTATTTTTAATTTTCATTCACTTCCATAATTTCTCTAGGTTTTGGTCATTTATTTCTGGTTTCTTTGTGCTATATTCTTATGAATAGGATAATGTCAATTATTTGCATTTACTTAATTATATTTTATTGGCTACTATATGTTGTATATTGAAGAAATCTCCACGTGTTTCTGAGAAGAATACATATCTTGCTGTTTTGGTTAGAACACTTTGAAGATATCTATTAAGTCCTTTAGTTTAAAAGTTTGGTTCAACTCTGATATATTATGATAGTGTTGAATTTTTCTATTTAATGTATTTGTGACAGTGGTGCAATGAGGCTGATGATATCAGTGTGGCCCCATTTTGTTTATCTGATATTTAATGCTTTCCAGTAGTGTTTATTTCATGAAGTTGGGTGGGATGCTATTTTGTGCATACATATTCATAATTGAATCATTTCTTATATTATTGGTGCCTTCACAAATACATAAGTATCATTTTGTCTTCTGATCAGTTTTGCCTGGAGATCCACTTTGTGTGAAATTGAGATCACTACTGCTGGTTTTATGGGCTTCCCATTGCATGAAGTACTGATTCTAGCCTTTGATTTTTAGTGTATGAATTTGTACTTTGAGTCAAATATTTTTCTTGTCTATAGCATTGCAATTAGATTTTTTTTCCTGACACATTATGTTAACCTGTGTATTTTGACTGAAGAATTGTCCTTCACGTTGAGTGTTAATAGTGAAAGTTATAGACTTCTTAGTGTCATCACATTATTTTCCTGTTGATGAATCCTTTTTTCCCTTCTATGTAACTCCTCAAATACGTAGTGTCTTCTTTGTGGTAGACCTTTGGACTTTGCAGCTAGAATTTTTCTTTTTAAGATAACTTTGATAATTCTTTCAAAGTATTTGTTGGCCATAATGAATTTTTAGGTGCTCTTTTTCATTAGAATATCTGATTCCTCCATTAAGTTTTAAAAAGTTTTGCAAGATATATTGATGTTGTTTGAAAGATTATTTTTTCTTTTGGACTTCTGAACTCCTCTCCAACTCCTAATGCCTTTGAAGGTTTGTGATTAAAACCCTGTGTGAATTCTCATGGCTTGACCTTTATAAGCATTTCACTACTTTTCTCTATCAGCCTTTATGAATTGTTCAAAACTTCTAGGATTTTGACCATGATGTGTTCCACAGAGTTTCTATTCTGTACATGCTAATTGTTTTTTGGTATGCCTTACTTTAACGTACGTTCGATTTTTTCCCCATATGTGGAAAGTTCTCTATTATGTTTGTAAACATATTATTTATAAAATTTTTGCTATCTTTTCACTAGTGCCAATTAGTCTTAAATTAGTCTCTGCCACATCCAGCAAATGCTGGATATATTTCTTATGCGTTTTTTTATTTTTAGAGATATTTGCAAGCATATGTTCTCTGTCTTTGTCCCTATTATGACACTCTGTTCTCGTGGAGTTCATTTCTGCTGCCCGTAATTGCCATAGAAGTTTTACTCCTGCATTTATTTTGGTAATTTACATGGACTGTAATTCTTTTCTAATCTGGTCATTCATGTGTAATATATTTTGCATTCATGCAAAGAGGTTTATTTTAAGCGCATAAAAAGTAATAGAGTTTTTGTTGCTGAATTGCAGAATTGCTTGAGGCCAACTAATTCTTTTATTCCATTCATGTTTATCCTTTTCATAATGGATATGTTTATTGAATGGCTGAGTTACTGAATGTAAGAAAACATTACATGATTTCTAGTTTTACAAGTCTTAAAACGCAGACAATTTTTCTCCATTATGAACAATACTGTCTCACCTTTACTTAATTTAGATTAGTCAAGCAATGAGGCTGAGAAGTGTTTACATTGATGATTTTCAGTTAAAGTTATGTAACTGGAATTCTTTCTTCTTTTTGGTTTTTGGTTTTTCTCCGGTACCGGGAACCGAACTCACGACCTTGAGCTTGAGCTTGCCAGGCAGGCGCTTTGCCGCTGAGCTAAATCCTCAGCCTCTGGAGTTCATTCTAACATGTAAAAAAAGGATGGAGATGTTAGAATGTGTAGACTTTATATTGTGCATAGAACAAATATGAACTTTCCAAGACAGAGCACAAATATAGTAGATTAAAGAATGGCTTCTGAAAATTCATATTGCCACAGAACTTTGAACTACTTTCTTCACAATACTCTTCACAGAGATAATCAACTTAGCATGAGACTATAGTGAATGAGACTGGATACTTATTTCAATGATTGATATTATTTGTAAAAAAGAAGATTGGTACAAATATCAACAAGATACACATGGGGAAGAAATCTATAACAAAACAAGGAACGGAGGTGGGCATGGTGGTGCATGAAAGTAATCCCACTACTAGGTAGTCTGAGGCAGGAGAATAGCTGCAAGTTTGAGCCCAGACTGCCTACAAAGTCAGTTCAACGCCAGCCTGAAGTGCATAGTCACAAGCTGTCTCAAAAAAATGAAGGACAAAAGAGAGATTGGAATGATTCAGACACTAGCCAAGGAATAAGAGTTGCTGAGAACAAACAGAAGCTAGGAAGAGGCATGTATAGATTTTTCTATGCTCTTTATAGGTAGGGGGGCCTTGTCAATAACATGATTTCAAAACTAATCCACTGTGAGAGAATAGATTTCTGTTCTTTATAGCCGCTGTCTTTGATGCTCTTTGTTTTAGCTCTCCAAGGAAACACATACATAAGAAAGAAGAGAGGCAGGAGCCAGAGGACATTGAGCAGGTGGAGGAGGGAGAGGAGGAGGTTGAGAAGGAAAATGGGGCAGAGGGTTGGAGGAGATGGAGGAGGGGAGAAAGATGGGTAAGGAGTAGAAAGAGGGAGAAGAGCTGGGGGAGGAAAAAGCGAAGATGAAAAGGAAGAGGACAAGAATTTGGACAAAAAAGTAGGGCAGGATCAGAAGGCAAGAGAACTATGTATGACCTCATATTAGTAATTTCATTGAAATAACATTTTAATTCAATTTTGTGAATACAAACAAAAAATACGTATACATTTATCAGCCTTAGGAGATGTGGTTGGAACTGCAATGAATGCTTCCACTGAGAGTGCCATCCACCAGAGAAGAAGGTGCACCATACATTATGATTCATCTTCATCTACGGAATATGACACCTTGTGAGTTTGGCTCTTCCTCCAAGTTAAAATGCCCAGAAAGGGTAAACATTTTGAGTAAATTCAGGAACAAGAGCAGTTAGACACAAATGAGGACTTGCAAAACTGCTTCAGGAAGTGACAAGAATGATGGAATAAATGTCTTTAAAGTATATTTATATTATCGTCACGCATAGAACTTAATTTGAAATCACAGTCCATCTGCATCCCATGACCATTGCACTTCTTCAACTTTTGGAAATTTAATCACCAGACTTATCAGCTTGTCAATTATTCATTAAAAACTGGGAAATACAAACTCCCTGTGATGGAAAGTAAGTCAATGTACTTTTCCAAAAGTCAACAAAACATGCATCCTAATATAATACATCCTGGTGTACTATTAACTTCACTACAACATTCACGATATAAAGCTGAGCAGTCCTTCCCAATTTTTCTCTTCCTCGCACTCAAATTGACTAAATTTATTATGAAGATCTTGAAGACTCACAAATGTGCATAAATGGTGGCGGGTATGCTGCATTTTTCAAAAATGTTAGTAACATAAAAAAAGATACAGTCTATACACACATGATAATGAGGAACAATATATGTATTCCTAGCCTGAATCTTTCAAAAGAGGTTTTCAGAAACTAAGAGTAGAGTGCATCAATTGACAAAATGAATGTAGATATGCTATTAGATTAACTATAACAACTGTATCAGTGTTATATTTACACATAAGTCTATATGACAGATGAAGGAATAGTTTCTCATCTTTCTGACCTTCATCCCTGTTCTCTCAAGTGCTCTTCAAAAATCAAATTGGCTTTAAGATCAAATCTAATTTCTACACTGTTTGTATCTTCATAAAATATAAAATTTCCAGAACCTTATAAAGGTCTTAAAATTATTGCCTGAATATTAAATTTGCTAAAGTTATATGTACAGAGATTATGTGTCTTGGGAAATATATGTGCAACTAAGAATGGTTCATAATGTGTTTGTCTTACTCTCCAAGATATATCTGGAGAGAAGACAGAATTGAGGATAATGATAAGCAGCAACTCAGTGAGATGTAGGGGAAAATTCATTTTATTTATTTTGGTAACTGGGAGGCCCTACTTGCCAGTCCTGAGAGCAAGAGCTGGGTGAGAGATGTTTCAGCCACCCCTACCTTCAAGCCAGCCCTCATTGCCCTTCCCCCAACCGGCCTGCATCAGTCCCCGCCTAACTGTGACGCAGTCTCTGTGTGGACACTGTGACCTCACCTACGGATGCCCAATCACTGTGGAGAGGGCCTGGCTTCAAGGACCAGAGGTAGCGGCCGGCTGCCTCAGGCAGGAGCTCTGGCCTCTCGCAGAAGAGGACTCGGAGGAACAGGTAACTTCGTTGCGGTAAGTGGAGTCTCAGCTTCCCTAAATCCCATCTAAGGTGGCAGGCTCGAGCCACAGGTGTTCAGCAGCTCCCATACTAAAGTCCAGCACCCTCCACCAACTGCCTTCTTCTGCTCTCTCCTCTCACAGCCGCCTTTCCTGGGATCAACTAGAATCCTCAACCCAAGGTCCTGTCCTCAAGGAATTTCATTGCTGCTCCTTGGGGTCCAAAATCAACGGTGCCCCGTGCCAGCCACCTAGAACTGCGCCAAATTTTGGGCACCAGGATTTGAGAACAATGGCTCTACAGCGGATTCAGAAAGAGCTTGCGGATCTTGCTCAGAACCCCCCAGCCCAATTCTCTGCGGGACCTATGGGAGAAGATCTGTTTGTATGGCAGGCGACCATCATAGGACCCAATGACACCCCGTACCAGGGCGGAGTGTTTTCCTTAATCATTGCATTTCCTTATAGTTACCCGATCTTCCCACCCAGGGTAACATTCAAGACCCGAATTTTCCATCCGAATATTAGTAAACATGGCACAATCTGTCTAGATATCCTCGGGAACCAGTGGTCGCCAGCACTTACAATTTCTATGGTTCTCTTGTACATCTATAACGTGCTGTGCGATCCCAACCCAAATGATTCCTTCCATCCCGAGATTGCCAATCTCTACCTTAAGAATAGGGCAGAGTATGAAAGAATAGCTCGGCGATGGACTCAAAAGTATGCCATGTGAAAATTCGGAGTCGAATTTGTTTGCCAAAACAATAAAGGCAAAATTGGCAGTTCAGTTAATTAGTTGCCTGTTGATTATTTCTTTTAAGACGCATCTTTCCCATCTTTGTGGGTACATACTACACAAGTTTCATACTAGGGCATATGCGGAGAGGTATTGAGGGGATTGGATGAGTCAGGGGAGGATGCGTGGTTGGTGAGAGGGACGAGTTTAAGTTAGGTGGGAGATCTCTGGGGTTAGGATGGAAAGAAAGTAATATGGTTTTAATTTAGTTTCAAATAAAGGATTTATTGATTGATTTAGGATTGGAAAACAAAGGAAGGACAAGAGTGGGTAGTATCTTTTTAACGAGAAGAACAATTTCACCCAACTTTGGGAATATTTTTAATGTAGAATCTTCTAGAGCTGCCAACAAATAGGAAAACGTGTGTGAAAGTTACAAGGCTAGTTAGGGATTTATTTTACTTTGAAGCACCTGTGTCTTTAGATGGTTTGGTTTGGACTAAGAGTACTGTTCACCCTTGTCCTTCATTTTGAGTTCCTGGGTTCACCAAAACATGAAATGCATCAAGCGATTTTACAAGGAAAATAATTTCAAAATCTGTATACATCCCACCTCTTGCATCTCTTCTGCTTTGCACATTCTGCCTCTCTCCCATCAGCCATGCTAGGTGTGACACATGAAAGACCAATGTCCTGGTTGGAGAAAGAAATTACTGATAGCCAGGGGATATAGAAAATTAAAGTTTATATACACACTGGAAAGAGCAGCAGAAATGCCCAAGAGAGGACCTCTCCATCAAAGTAAAAGGTTGACCATTTGATCCTTAATGGTAATGAGAGAATGGGATCTCGAAGCTTCATCTCAGAAAATCTTTCAAAAGTTTATGGTGCTTAATAGAAGCATCATCCATCCCATTTCTAAGGATAGCTGTTTGCTTGAAGATTCATGTAGTGACTGTATTTTATAGCACCCAGTGTCTTGCAGTTGCTAGAACCAATCCTTCTAGGTAAAATTAACTCTTAAACTGTGTACATATATTCTCAAGCGCATCAGAATTCTAGTGCTCTGCAGGATCAAAAGAAAATATGTTTGTGCTTGAAAAGGATGTCTTTCAGTACAGAGTGACAAGAGAAGAAATGGAACTCTTGAACACATGGGAATAAGTTAGATCACGTAATGCTCTATGTGTAGTTTTCTGCATAGGTTACAAGGTGAAGAACTGAGGTTTTACTATGAACTCATCCGTCAGTTTCAATGCAGCCATTAAAGAACCAATAGTAATATAAGCAATATTCCCTGCTCTGCCCTTTGGTTTGTAGATGGCTTCTCTGAATACACCTACTGGACTCATATTTGTCTTTTTTACCCAAGTAGGATTTTAAAGTCTAGCTTCAAGCCCACTGGTTATCCTCTCACATGTTTAGTGGAAGTTGGCAGAGTAAGATGAACTCCTGGGTTAGAGACAATGGGCTTGATTAGTGGTGAAACAGGAAGCATCCTAAGCTACATTCCTGTCAGTTGCGTTTGCCTGCTACATCCTGAGGAGGAGACATGGAGCACACCCAGCAGGTGATGCACCCATGACGGGTTTGCACCATAGCTGAGTGACTTCAGTTTTTAGGGACTGCTGACAAGCCTGCTCAAACTCTGCCCCAGAAGGAGGTATTGTTATTAATCTGGTCATGAGACAAACACATCTACCATCTTCCCTGGAGGGACCTCTTTCTTCCAAGGCTCTTTGCTACATAAATATATCAGAATAAAGCTGCTTAATGCATTCAATAAGACACTGGACTTTTAATAAGCCCAGTTTAGTTACTCCAATGAAGATGAGGAATCACATGTGTAAGGAAATGTACACTATTTACATTTATTAAAAATCTGTAATAGTCCAAGATAAACTGTGTCACAACATGTACATAAATATGATGAAGAACTGGATCAAGATAGTTATACTAACTTGGATCTATCTGCCTAGAAAGGTAAAAGTAAGTTTAGGAAAATATATGTGTGTATGGAAAAATCCCAATTTTCCTTG